AATCTTAAAAAAAAAAAGAAGTGAACCACAGGGGAGATCTCTCTCTCTCCGTCTCTGATTGTGTCTTACTCTGTCTTGCTTGCAAATAAAACGATTTTTTTTTAATTTTGTGGAAAATTGAAGTAAAGGATAAATTTATTTCAATGCAAAACATTTTTAAATCGATGCATAGGATTATGTCACATGCATTTTAAAACCTCTCATATAGGACCATTTAAATTTAAATTAATTAGAAGTCAGTAAAATTTAAAATTTGATTCCGAAGTTCATAGATACATTTCCAGAAGTCTGTGGCCTCAGGGAGACAGTGGCTATCATATCAGACAGTGTAACAGGGAACATTCCCATCATCACAGAAAGTTCCGTTGAACAGCTCTGCTCTAGAGCCTGAGAACATACACTGCCCGTGTTGGGATCTTTCTCTTCCTGGTCCTTCCCCACTGTGCCAGGCCCTAAGAGGCAGGCTTGTGTGGCAGGTGCAGATAATCGATCCTCGCCTCCAATTCTGGTTGATTTCGGCACTGAAGGGACACTCTAGAGCACAAGAGTAGGGTGGGACTCCTGCTCCTCTGGCCTCCCCTGGTTCCTGTGGCTTAGGTGCATCTCTCCAGGAAAAGCCGCAACTCCCGTCAAAGCAGTGTTCACCCTGCTGCTCTCCATGGGTTCTGGTAACACTGCCCTCCTGCTCTTCATCCGTCAGTGCAGGTAGGACATAACCTCTTCCCATACCTTTAAAAACAGCCCCCAAATAGCTAACCGATTTCCCAGAACACACCTGCTGTTTCCTGTGAGTACCCTGGTAGGAAAGCCTCCGCTCCCACTTAAGGCTGGAGGGGTGCCCTTATCAACACCCGCAGAGACAGCGGAGGCTACAGCCCACTGGAGTCGGACAATGCATTGAGAACTATCCTGCTTCGTTTAACAATGATTAAGCAGGCAAGGGTAGCACAGGGATTGGCAAAGACTTTTCCTAAATCACCAGATAATAATACTTTATATTTTGTGGGTTATACAGTCTCTGCTGTAATTATACTGTCCTGTGAAAGTAAGCAGCCACAAATGCTTTATAAATGAATGAGTGTGGCTGTGTTCCAATAAAACTTTAATTACAAAAGCAGGAAAAGGGCCAGATTTGGTCCATTGACTGTAGTTCACCTAAAGTTGCAAAGAAAAAGCACACATCTGAATTTGCTTATGCAGAAAGGAAGCATATAAATATATATGTCAAATATACATTTTAAATAGTTTGTGGAAAATATAATTAAAATAGATGGTCATTTTCCATGAACATTTTGAACACCCCCGCCCCCATGTATACATATGATTCTTGACACACTGCAAGAAGGTATGGCTTCCTAAGGAGCAGGGATGGGGAGGAGAGTGAAAACGAGAATAAATGCAAAAGCAAGATACAGACTGAAGTGAAGGAAAGCCTGTAGATACAAAGAAAGCAGAGAAACAATGTGTGTGCTCTTAGAATTGCAGTTCACATGAGAAACAATGCAGAGCAGAATTTGTATCAGAGAAAATTACACTTCAGAGAAATTATAAAAGTACCTTTTAGAATCTAGAGTTGAAAATAAAGAAAAAACAGATGGCATATATGAGAAATGCAAAAACTTAGAAAAAGAATAAAGACTAGTGTTCCCTTAAGAGGTCTTCCAAAAAAGTAATGACACTGGAAAACCACTCAAATCTATAGCAGAATGTTATTTTAATAATAATTGTACATACTTATGAGCTACAATGTGATATTTAAGTGCACATATGCAACGTGTACTGATCAGGACAGGTAGTTTTTTCAGTAGCTTCCGCTCTTTGACATTAGTTCATGAGCAGAGAATTGGAACTGTTTTCTTCCATTTGTTCATATAACACATCCTAGGAAAGGTTGAACTCTGCACTGGGTACTACTAGAAACGTATTCTCCAATACACCTGACCTAGCACACATTCTCCAAACTCCTTCTATCACACACCCCTCCTAATCTCTAGTAATTACCATTCTGGGTAGGATTGTGTTCATTTTTAGTTCCACATATGAGGGAGAACGTGAGGTATTTGTCCTTCTGTGTATGACATTTCACTTAACACATTTTCCTCCACTTCCATCTATTCTGATTCAAATGACAGGATTTCATTCTTTTTATGGCTGAATAGTATTCTGTGCCTCTGTAAACCACATTTTCTTTATGCATTCATCTGATGATGGACAACTTGTCTAGTGCCACATCTTGGCTACTTTGAACAGTTCTGCAGTTAACATGGTGGATGAGGTATCTCTATGATACAATGATTTCATGTCTTTTGAATATATACCCAACAGAGGAATTGCTGGACCATATAGTAGTTCTATTTTTAGTTTTTTCAGAAATTTCCATACTGTTTTCCATTTACCACCAACAGTGTATGAGATACCCTGTATTCTCTAAATCTTTCCCAGTATTTGTTACTTTTTCTCTTTTGGATAATAAGTATTTTAACAGAGGTGAGGTGATAACTCATTGTGGTCTTGACTTGTATTTCTCTGATGGCAAATTTTTGTGTATTTGTTGACCATTTTTATTTCTTCTTTTGGAAACTGTTCTTTCAGGTCCTTTGCCCATTTCTTAATTGGCTTGCTTGGGATTTTTGTTCTTTGTTTTGGTATTGTTGAGTTCTTTGAGTTCCTAATATAGTCTGGAAATAAATCCCTTTTTAGATAAGTAGCTTGTAATTATTTTCTGCCAATCTGTTGGATATTTCTTTACATCATTGAATGCTTCCTTGGCTGTGCAGAAGCTCCTGAGTTTGATATGATCCCGTTTGTCTAGTTTTGCTTTTGTTACTTGTGCTTTTGGGGTCTCATTGAAAAAACAAATCAGTGTCTACATCTATGTCTTGAAGTGTTTCCCCTACATTATCTTCCAACAATTTCATAGTTTTGGACCTTACATTTAGGATTTTGATCAATCTTGAGTTGATTTTTGAATATGGTAAGAGGTAGAACTCTAATTTCATTCTTCTACATATGTAGATCCAGTTTTGCCAGCTCCTTTTATTGAAGACTATCCTTTCTCCAATGGATGTTCTTGGTATTTTTGTCAAAAATCAATTGTCTGTTCCATGGACCAATGTGCTGGCTTTTATGCTGGTACCATGCAGTTTTAATTGACATAGCTATGAATATGAGTTGATATCAGTTATTGTGATGACTCCAGCTTCCCCCATTTCAAGGATCATTTTGATTTTTCTGGGGTTTTGGTATTTCCATATTAATTCTGTTATTTCTTTTTCTAATTCTGTAAAAATGTCACTGGTATTTTGATATGAATTGTATTGACTCTGAAGGTTGCTTTAGGTAGCATGGACACTTCAACAACATTAATTATTCCAAATCCATGAGCAAGGAATACCTTTACATTTTTATGTGTTCTTGATTATTTCTTTCAGCAGTGTTTTATAATTTCATTGTAGAAGTTTTCTATTTCTTTGACTAAATTTATTCCTAAATGTTTAATTTTTGTAGTTATTGTGAATGGAATTTCTTTCTTGATTTCCCTTTCAACAAGATGACTATGGTATATAAAAATGCCAGTTTTTATATGTTGATTTTGTAGCCTGTGTCTTTACTGAATTGGTTTATCAATTCTAACAGCTTTTTAGTAGATTGTTTAAGTTTTTCCACATACAAAATACTGTCATCTGCAAACATGGATATTTTGATTTCCTCCTTTCCAGTTTCAATGCCATTTATTTCTCTCTCTTCCCTAATTGCTCTTACAATATTACACTGAATAAGAGAGGTGAAAATGGATATCCTTTTCTTGTTCCAAATCTGAAGAGAAATGCTTTCAGCTTTTCCCTTCAGTATGATATTAGCTGTGGGTTTGTCATATATAGTCTTTTTAATTTTGAAGCAAGAATCTTGCATACCAAATTTGATGAGAGCTTTAATCATGAAGGGATGTTGAAACTTATCAAAAGTTTTTGTACTCTATTGATATGATCATATGGTTTTTCTTCTAAATTCTGTTATTTATTGCACTATGTTATTCAAATGTTATTCAACATTTGTGAACCCTGAACCATCCTTGCATTCCTGGGATAAAAACAACTTGATTATGATGTATGATTGTTTTGAAGGAGTATTTTATTTGTTTTGTTCGTATTTCATTGAGAATTTTTGCATATTCATCAAGGATACTGGTCTTCAGTTTTATTTTTTAGTTGTGTATTTGTTTTTGATATCAGAGCAATAGTGGCCTCATAAAAACATTTTGGCAGTTTCATCCTTTTCAATATTTTGGAATAGTTTGAGAAGTGCTGGAGTTAGTTACTCTTTAAGTGTTTTGTGGAATTTAGTTGTAAAGCCTTCACATCCTGGACTTTTCTTTAATGGAAGACTTTTAATTATTCTTTCAATCTCATTACTTGCTGTTTAGAGTTTATATGTCTTCTTGTTACAATCTTGGTAGGCTGTATTATCCAGGCATTTATCTAGCCTTTTGAGGTTTTCTAATTTTTTAGCATATAGTTGTTCATGGTAGTCTCTTACCATCCTTTGTATTTCTGTGGTATCAGTTGTAACGGCTCCTTTTTCATCTCTAATCTTATTTATTTGAATTTTCTCTTTTTTCTTTTGTTAGTCTGGCTAAAAGTTTGTCTATTTTGTTTCTTTTCAAAAAACTAGCTTTTCATTTGGCTGACTTTTGTATTGATTTCTATAGTTAGTTTCAATTTCACTTATTTCTGCTCTGATCCTTTGTTTCTTGCCTTGTGCTAATTTTGGGTTTGGGTTTTTCTAGTCCTTGAGATGTATCATTTGATTCTTTATTTGAAATCTTTCTTTTTTTGATGTACTCACTTACTATTATAAACTTTCCTCTTAATACTACTTTTTCTGTATTCTGCAAATTTCAGTATTTTTTATTTTCATTTTCATTTGTTTCAAAAAATTTTATTTCCTTTTTAATTTCTTCAAAGATCCATTGATTATTCAGGAGGCAAACTGCTCAATTTTCATGTATTTGTAAATTTTGTATTCTTCTTGTTGATTTTTACTTTTATTCCTTTGTGTTCTAAGATACTTAGTCTGATATCAATTTTTTAAATTTACCTATACTTGATTTGTGACCTCATATATGGTTTATGCTAGAAAATGTTCCAAGTGCTGATGAGAAAAATGTATTTTCTGTAACTGTTGGATAAAATGTTCTGTAAATGTCTGATAGGTCCATTTGCTCTATAGTATTGTTCAACTCTAACGTATGGGATTATGCACTAGCAGGTAGAGGCATGGAGCAGAGGCATGTAAGTGTGATTCTGGGGCTTGTACCCTGGCCACCCACCACCCTGAGCCAAGAAATGCAGAAGATTCCTCAAGTCTAGTCCTCCAGGCCTGGGAATCAATTGCTTCTGACACTGAGTCCCAGGAAGCAGAAGGGTCTTCCCTGGGTTGCACAGGGTAGGTGAGCAAGCATGGCTCTGGGCCCTGTGCCCAGCAGTACCACAGCTGTAAGAGGCAGAGGGGCCAGCTTTCTGCCTTGTGAATCACCCTGGCTCTGGCTCTGGCTCCGAGAGGCTACTGGGAGTGACAGGTTGCTTGCTGTCACCTCAGATAGAATGGAGTTTAACAGCAGCTGCATCACAGTAGCACAAACCCGGGGCTCTGGGAAGAGATGGACACAATATGAGTTCCTCTCTCAGAGCAAAGCAGTTGCTCGGGCACCAGCCAGCTTCCTAGACTGAATTTAAAGACATTCTCCTGCCTTTAGGGCTGCAGATCTGCAGTGGGGGTGGGGGTCCTGGGGGTCTCTGTTTACCTTTTCCAGCAGGATGGCTGTGAGGCATCTTGCTCCTCTCTCAGGCTTTCAAAGTCTCTGTGCTGTCAGAGTTCTCGTCACTTCTTTACTGAAATCTTCCCTCCGTCCGTCTCCCAGAATGCAGTCCTTTCTTTACTGTCCCGGTTCTTCTCTGTGGTGGAGGTGACTGCAGGGCCTCTCTACCCAGTCGTCTTACATCTCAGGAGAACATTCTTCAGCAGAAAAGTCTAAGATTGCAAAACAAAGTGCAAAATCAAGAAGAGTTGATAAAAAAAATCCACTATTTGAAACTAAGGGGGAAAAAAGTGTATGTATCCCAGGCAGAAAACAAAACAAAGCAAAGGAAAAACAATGAAAACTCCATTGTTTATAAATGATTACAAAGAAAAGAAAAGTCAGGCTAGGATGACCTCATAACTCTCCTTGATGAAAAACTGAAAATAAACAAAATGGCCCACAATGTGGAAATGGTTAGATATACGTACAGTACAAACAGATGTTTGAATATTATGCAACCATCAAAAGCAATGTTAAGCATGTGTTCTTAATGAGATTGGAAAGTGTATGATAAAAAGGTTTGCAAAGAACTCTAGTCACCAAAAACACATATAATATGCATGTCTGTCATCTATCACGTTGCTTTATGGTTTTTGTGTACCTACACACACAGGGAGAGGAGCACCGTCAGTGTAATTTCCCTATTCTGTATTGCTCATGGCTTAATTCTCTCAAGAAATCAGTAATAGTCTGTCCACAGCACAGTGAAGGACACTGCAGATCACAGAGGTTATGAGGTTTTCCATCCAGAGAGTAGATGACATAACCAGGATTCCAGTAAAAACCTAGAATGTGTATTTTTCCCATTTCACTCCATTGGAGCATTGAGGGAGGACCAGAGGAATCCACAGCCTGAGGGCAGTTAGGGCCTCAGGGTCCTGGTGCTATCAGCACCAGAAAGGCTGGACAGTTGGGCCTAATTTTCCTTCACCCAGCACACATGGCAGTAGTGACCCAACTCCATCTGGTCATGATCTCACCTCCAGGGAGCCTGCTAGAACAACAGAATTCTGCAGAAACCCAGAGCTGAATAGCTGGGTAAATGATGGGTGTTCCACCAATTTGTTGAGATGTCAGTTTCCTGGTATAATTTCCTTAGGCCTCTGTGATAATTCTCTGTTTAAGGCAAGAAAACCCTAGGGTGAATGTTTCTGCCCACTCTTCCAGAAAAGCAGATCAGGAGTCAATTCACAAGATCATAGCCAGCTCTGAGATGGCCACGTTTTCAGAAGAAACATTTTGTAAAGTCAAATTCCCATGCTGGGTTTGCTGGGGACTCTTCGACTTCAGGGAGTTTAAAGACAGACATTGACAAAGCAACCGAAAAATATACCATCCCCCAAAAGAGTACCGGTTAGAGGAAAGAGTATTTGTTTTGGGCGTTCAAGTTCTTCACGATGCAAGAATCTTTATTCATCTCCTCCTTGACTCATTTATTCCTTTAACATCTTTATAAAGCACCAGGCGCAATGCTGGACTCACAGGGTGCAAAGAAGCTTCAAAACATCGTCCTCTGCTGCCAGGAACCAACCGTCTGGAAAGGGAGGGGGTGTGTGTTTAAAAAGGAAAACCAGTGACATAATCCCCCGTGTGGTTTAGCAAGTTGATTCTGTGAGAGAAGCAAGTGGGAGAACTGTCTTAAAGTGCAAAACCGTTTCTTTAAATTAAAAAAAATCCAAAGACATATAAATATAAGACATGAGCCAGATGTGTTATCACATTGATGACTTGTGGGTTCTTTGATCAAGAAGAAAGAACTAGAAGAATCAGAATATAAGGGTCTTCACATTTATCTTTTAAAATGTCTTTCTTAAAAAGAAGGTCCAAAATAAACACAATACGCAAAATATACACACAGTATGACTGCATTTACGTGAAGTTCTAATCTAGGCAGACAAACCCATGGACAGTCGTTAGCTTTGGTGGGGCGAGGAGCTGTGAGGGATAATGTGAAGGAGGCAACGGGAAGGTTGGGAATATTCTGGTTCTCTTTGTAGTGCTGGTCATATTACTATGTTCACTTTGTGAAAATCCAGCAGCTGTACAATTATGCTATGTGCACTCTTCCATATCTATGCCACACTTCAATTAAAAGATGGTTAGATAAAGATAAGATGACAAGATAGGATGGAATGTGGCAGAAAGCATTTGTTGATTTGGAATGACAGATACACTGATGTTTCTGTAACATCTCTGTATTTTGAAACACTTTCTGATTTTGTAAATAATAAAAGGTTTAAACCTCAGTTGCTCTATAGAGGGGTTAAACACTGGGATCAGGAAGACAGCTAAAGAGTCGGTGCGACAGTTATTCTTAAGTGTTGAAAATTAACTGAAATGTGATCCCTGTTAAACATAAGAGTGGGAATAAGAGAGGGAAGAGATGTATAATTTGGGGCATGCTCGGGCTGACTTGCCCCAATTGGTAGAGTTGGAAACATACCAGGGGATTCCAATTCAATCCCATCAAGGTGGCATGTGCCAATGCCATCTCACTACTCCAAGTGATCAATTTCAGTTCACAATTGATCATAATGAAAGGACTAAGAGTCAAAGGGAGCACATAAACAAGTCTAGTATCTGCTAACACCAACCGATAGAATAAATAAAGGGGAGAGTGATCCAACATGGGAAGTGAGATACTCAGCAGACTCATAGAATGGTGGATGTCCTAAATAGCACTCTGGCCTCAGAATCAGCCCTAAAGGCACTCGGATCTGGCTGAAAAGCCCATGAGAGTATTTCAGGCATGGAAAGCCAAGACACTCTGGCAAAAAGATCTCTGTGAGTGAGATCCCAGTGGAAAGAACAGGTCTTCAAAGAGGGAGGTGCCTTTCTCTGAAGGGAGGAGAGAACCTCCACTTTGACTATGACCGTGTCTAAACAAGATAAGAGGCTGAGAACTCAAGGGGCTTCCATAGCCTTGGAAACTCATGACTGGCGCATAGGGAGATTACTGATGCCATACACAGGAGTGTCAATTTGTAGTCAACAACAGGAGTCACTGTGCACTTACTCCTCATGTAGGATCTCTGTCCTTAATGTGCTGTACACTGAGGCTTAATGCTATAACGAGTACTCAAACAGTATATTTCACTTTGTGTTTCTATGGGGGTGCAAACGATTGAAATCTTTACTTAATGTACACTAAACTGATCTTCTGTAAAAAAAAAAAAA